GATGCACGAACACCTGAATGAGAAAGATTGTGCAATGTATTGAAGACGTTGCGCCGATAATGTTTTGGTACTATTGGACGATCCCTACCTGTAGATGTGTCGCAAAGTAAGGTTTCCTTACCTGTTCCCATCTGATTAATACTTAGTTTAAGAGTTGTCGAGGATAACTCATACTGAAGATCAATGTCTTCTTTTTGAAGCCGAGCGAGTTTAAGAAGGTCGACTCCTTGGAAACTGTTCAAGGAACTTATTCGAGACTAGGCGTCTGCGACTACATTGTTTGCTCCAGAAATGTGTTGTATGTCTGAAGTAAACTGCGAAATGTAGTCGAGTTGTCGAGACTCTCGCGGTGAGTACTTGTCTGAAGATGAAATTAAAGAGAAGGTAAGGGATTTGTGATCGGTAAAAAGCGTGAATTCTCTTCTTTCGATGGAATGTTGGAAATGCCGTACAGCACAATACATAGCTAAATACACAGCTAAATATCGTAATAAAATAAGACGCCTAAAGAAACGTTATTTTATATCTAACGACTTCACGGCAGTCACACAAATAACAATAATATTTAATCAAATTAAAGAGAAACATAGGATAAAAGCCATCAATGAAGAGCTATTAGCACTAAGTACTACCTCTAAAGTGCAAAACCTAATCCACCTTTACAATAAACGTGCTAAATCAACTCAAAAGGTTGATGTACTATGCATCCTGCATAATAATAGTTTTATATATGACCCAAAAACTATAGCAGACCTTTTCTGTGGTATTTTTTCAAATGGCAAAGAATCCATAAATGGCTCTGTTTCTAGAGTTATATGCACGACTGGTAGCTCAATTAAATCTATCTCCTTCACATGTCTGAAAATTAGTAAGGTTATAAATAACCTAAGGGTTTCGACGGGATTTCATCATTTCTCTACAAATATGGTGGTCCAGATATTCCACTTCTTCTCCTTAAGCTGCTTACTCTCTCTATGGAATCAGGCTCTTATCCTAATCGTTGGAAAACCGCGTACATCATACCACGTTACAAATCCGGAGATAAGACTGACATGAACAACTATCGGCCAATAAATATTACTCAAGTTATCTCTAGGATTATGGAAAAAATTATTAGTGACGAACTACCCAACTATTTATTGACTGAACAATTTATTGATGATTCGCAACATGGATTTCTTAAAAATCGATCCTGTATAACATGTCATTTTGACTTCTTTAATTTAGTCTATTCTCTTCGTAGCCAAGGATATATAGTATTATTGTAAACTGCGAAATGTAGTCGAGTTGTCGAGACTCTCGCGGTGGGTACTTGTCTGAAGATGAAATTAAAGATAATGTAAGGGATTTGTGATCGGTAAAAAGCGTGAATTCTCTTCTTTCGATGGAATGTTGGAAATTCCGTACAGCACAATACATAGCTAGGAATTCCCTACCGAACGTGCTGTACCTAGATTCCGCGTCTAGCAATCGTCTCGAGAAAAATCCTAAATGTTGCCACGAGTTGTTAACCCATTGTTGTAAGACTCCTACGATTGCTGAGTCGGATGCGTCTACGGCGATACTAATGGGTGCTTGAGTGTCCTGATGTGCGAGCAGGGTTGCCTTAGCGATGTGTTCCTTAACTGTGGAGAATGCTTTACGAGTGGTGTCGTCTAAACCAATTGATTTTGCATTTCCACGAAGTTGGTTGGTTAACGGTTTCATAAGAGATGCGCATTTAGGTATGAACCGTCTATAGAAACTTACAAAGCCGTTGAAAGTTCGCAATTGCTTGATCGTGGTCGGTTCTGGGTAATCCAGAATGGCCAACACTTTGCTTCTAAGAGGTCGGATGCCTTGCGCACCAATAGTGTGTCCTAAGAAATCTATGGAGTCGGTTCCGATTTGGCATTTCTGAATGTTTACAGTAATGCCATGCCTTTGGAGTCGATCGAAAACAATGTCCAGATGCTTGAGATGTGATTCTCTGTCCGGACTTGCTATTAGACAGTCATCAGCATACGCATGTACGAAGTTGAGACCTCGAAAGACGTCGTCTATAAACCTTTGGAAGGCTTGAGCCGCATTTCTTAAGCCAAAAGGCATTCGCAAGAATTCGTAAAGACCGAAAGGAGTGATGATGGCGGTTCTAGGAATGTCGTCGGTTGCCATTGGTATTTGGTTATAAGCCTTAACTAGGTCGATTTTGGAAAAGACAGTTGTACCTTTCAAGGTAGCTGCCAAATCGTGAATGTGAGGCAACGGGTAACGATCGGGAATGGTTTTAGCATTCAGACGCCGATAATCACCAGTTGGCCGCCAATCGTTGCTGTCCTTTTTAGAGACCATGTGCAATAGGGATGACCATGGACTATTTGATGGTCGAATTATCCCTCAGTCTATCATGTGGTCGAATTTGTTTTCAGCTAACCTAAGTTTTTCGGGAGCGAGTCGACGGGCTTTCGAAAATACAGGTGGTCCTGTAGTCGAGATGTGATGTGTAACATTGCTGGTTACACTAGGCACTTTCGATTGCGGTTGGTATATCCCGGAGTATTTGTCGAGTAATGATTGGTATAGGGGGTCTATGGTGTGCTTAATCGTGACTGCGAATAACCTGCAACCAGAACAAGGAGTTACGCTAACAGATAACTTAGTGTTTCGGTCTATTAACTTTCTTGAGCGTGTGTCGATTAGTAAATTGTGGTATTGTAACAGGTCTATACCAATGATTGGCATAGAGACGTCTGCAACAACGAAAATCCAGTATATGGGCTTGCGTAAACCCACGTTAAGGTAGACGTACCTTTTACCGTAAGTAGCAATCGGCCTTCCGTTTGCTGCCTGTAAACTTAAAACAGACTCGCGAAGTCTGTCTTTGGAATTCGCTGGAAAAACGCTAACTTCTGCGCCGGTGTCGACGAGGTAGCGAACTTTCGTAGTCACATCCGTGACGTATAACAGACGGCTGTGTTCGCCGGGCACGGTTGCCGTTAACGCGTGCCGGCTTGAAAGTTCCCCGAAATCTTATTCGTGTCGGCCGCCGTAGACTTCGGGTTATTGCAAGGCTTCCTACAATTTCTAGAGGATTTACCGAACTGGTTGTGATACCAGCACCAGTCGGGGTTGACTGTATCTCGTAGTCGAGAGACAAATCGCTTACGTGAAACGCTCCTACGTGGGGATTTTGACCGACTACAGTCATTACGAAATCGAAGATAGCGTATCAGTGTATGACATAGTTATGACATAGTAATGTCATTCGGGGTCGTTTGAGGTTTTTCTTTGACTGAAAAGACCTCGGCGTTAGTAGATTTTGTAATTTCTAAGATGTGGTCGGCAGATGCAGCCAGCTCGTCTACGGCGTTGTTTTGAAACGAGGTGAGAACTGCTTGCACCTGTTGAGGAAGTTTAGATAAGAAAAGTTGTCTGAATAGGCCATCATCGAAAGTTCGTTGGCCGATAACCTCTCTCATTCTTAGCAACATGTCTGTCGCAGAACCATGTTGCAGGTCGATATTGTTAAAGAGTTGGTCTAACCGTTGTCGATCAGTTAGGTCTCCACGTTTTAAAATCGACCGTTTGAGAGTTTCGTAAGGTTCCGGAACATCACTAGTAAACATACTAGGTGATACGTACCTGTTAAATTCGCGCGGTAACGCCTTAATTACCGCGGGGAATCGTGTGCGCGAGTCAGTGATTCCGCGCATGCAAGAATCAGCTTCTGAGTAGCAGAACCAGGACTCGATATTGTCAGGCCAAAATGGCGTTAACTGAATCGAAGTTGGGGGAATAGATTTTAACTTAAAAACCTTAGGTGAGTGTTCCGTCATAGTAATATAAAGAACGAAAAATGTCTAATTAAAATATATCCGGGAAAAACTCGCGAAAAGAAGTATATCACAGTATATAAAAATCAAATAAAGAATGACAATGAATAATAATATTTCAAAAAGGAACAGACTCACAGTATATTGGCTTGGTGTACCAGATCACGTCAGGCTCACCACTGAGGATATGACTAGTATTCTAACTTTACAATTAGCTACCAGTAGCACCTTCTACAATCGAAACCTTCTTGGCCAAATAGAAATCAGACGTCAGATGAGAAGAGGTAGGAAATATATTTGATACGTTATCAATATATCGAGGAACGTTTATTCTAAGCTGACTAGTGAACGTAGGAGCAGTGTCCCACGCCGAGTTGAAACGTGATCTGGTACGGATGCATGACAGAAAGCCTTCAGTTAAACAAGTCCACTTAAACAACGTGGTTAGCATCCAATATCGAACACTCAGAAAGCTATTGATTTTGGGGAATTATTTACAGCTACAATCTTCAACAGTTTTATTCGTCCCCATTTAGTGTACGGAAACATAGTCCTTCCTGCCTCTCTCCAAAAAGGTCAGGACAATCTGGAACGTATCCAACGTCGAGCCCCGAAATCAGTTCCGGGACTCAAATTCAAACCTTATGAAGAGCGCCTCCGATCACCGAACTTTTACTTATTAGAATACAGGAGTCTTAGAGGTGACCTTCTTATGACTTACCGCAACTTTAACAATTCTGGACATTTCCTTTTAAACACCTACTTCAGTTTAGCTCCAACACAAAACTTAGGAGTATCACTCAGAAACAGGAGACTAAACACAACAGAACGGACTGTAGACACAACTTCTACTCTTTAGGAATTGTCAAATTCTGGAATTCTCTGACGGCTGAACTAGTCCAAGAGACTTCTCAGGAGTCCTTCAAGAGAAAACTTGACATATTCTTAAGGACTAAGGGTAGTATCTTACTGTGATTTACCGATCTCTTTTTCCTCTTTTATCTTTATTATACCTAGGTCCCTGCTTGGAAGTATAAGTGATTCACTGATACTAGACACGGAAGCCCGTTAAGCGAAAGCTTCGTCTATTTCGTCCACAACCATTTGAACCATTTGAATGTCTGATTCGTAAGGTCTTTCAAAGGTTTCTTTCGTTCACTGAATGGATGTCCTTCCTCATTCTAGACACCTTTTTCATACGAAAAACATGCTCATAAAGTGTAGTACAACTCCTAAAACGTTCAGTCTTCTACTATCTCAAAACTGAAACCGAAATTGAATACTCGCGGTCAGTTCGTGTGTTGTGGGCCGCAACAATGGCGAGTGCGGTACGCAAGAAACTTGTTATTGTTGGAGATGGTGCATGCGGGAAAACTTGCTTACTTATTGTATTCAGCAAAGACCAGTTTCCTAAGGTATACGTTCCTACTGTATTCGAAAACTATGTTGCAGATATCGAAGTTGATAACAGACAAGTAAGTGTATAAGTACTTACTATATGTGTTAGGTTGAATTAGCTCTCTGGGACACTGCTGGTCAAGAAGATTATGATAGGCTACGGCCACTTTCTTATCCTGACACGGATGTAGTTCTGTTATGTTATAGTATTGACTCTCCTGACAGTTTTGAAAACATTCCTGAGAAATGGTTACCAGAAGTAGATACCGCGAGTTCATAAATCCTATTATAGATCCGTCATTTTTGTCCTGATGTTCCCATTGTCTTAGTTGGAAACAAAAAAGACTTACGACATGACGAGGCTACAAAGAATGAGCTACATAGAACCAAACAACTTCCCGTCACTTTTAATGAGGGTAAAGAAATGGCTGAAAATATTAATGCTTATGCCTTCTTTGAGTGTTCAGGTACTGTCTTTACTTATGTCTAGCCTTCTTTAGCTAAGACCAAGGAAGGAGTCAGCGATGTTTTCGTAGCAGCTACTCGAGCCGCCTTGAATTCAGCGAAGAAGAAGAGGAGGAGGTGTGATTTAATTTGATCTCCACTGTTCTCTAAATTGTCTAAATTTGATTTTCCGGTCTCCGAAACATACATTCCCCTCCTAATTCTTCCTCAGGACCTTAAATTGCTGCTTCTATCGGCTACGTGTTTCTTTAACAATCATATTTTTTGTTTGCCAACAAGACAATCCATTCCACGGAAATATTTGCCATTTATTTTTGCCTTGATACTAAAATAGGGCATGCCTCATGTAACTTATATTTATTGAGAATAAATTACTATAATCAGTCAGCTTTCTAACTTTGTTTTCAAGCATTCTGCCTGTTAAGTGTAGCAAAATATACAAAGTCAATTTACAACTAGCTTTTGTTCCAAGGTTATCTAGTCTGGAAAATAATTGACACACCTGTTTACCATATGCTATGCTTCGTATATTCACAGGAGTGAGCTGGAATATTGCCTTGTTTACTTCTGTTTGGTTTAGATCAATTAGTGTTACTTCTCCAGTTACATCTGATTTAGTTTTGGCTCGAAGCAGTGTACTGGCCATGAATACTTTCATTTACCAATGCCATTATCTGGTGTTTTTGTGATATTTAGTGAGTGTTTTACTTGTCGTTGTTGTGAAACGTACTTTTTAACCCTTATTTGTTTGACAATGTAGTTTCGCCTACTATTATGAACTGAATTTGTGTGGCAGTGGAAAATCCGACACATCGCAGTGCCTAGGGGATTGGTGGACTTGTCTCACAAAACGACTTAAGCGATTCAGTGGAAATCAGCCTAGTTCACTGCCACCAAGAAAGCCGGATTAAACTATTTACTTGTGTAAAAGGCCAGCGACTTGGACTTGTTATAAAACGGGTCTTCTTGTTCCTAACTTTCCTGCGTACTTCGAATCACCTCGAGGTATTTTGAACATATACTGTTATAACCAACCTGATCCGTTGTCCTAAACATCACAAACCCTAAACCTAGGTTGCCATCAAGTATCTGGTGGAATTTGAAATACTTCTGCTATATCTCAACAAACAGCTCTATTACCAACCATTATTTGATTGACTAGTGGCTCAGAACGCCAAGTAATATTCTTGTTATTTGTAACCCAAATGTAAATGCTCGACTGAACCATATTTGTAAGAGTTGTAGTTGTTGAGGTATCTGCCTAGACTTCCTCCGTGAGTAGTTTTCGTCTTGAATTGTCCCAGTCGTGTTGCATTGCTCTGTATTTTATTTCCTGTTAAGACTGACTATTGCGTATACCTCTCCATGTATACTTATTTACCAATAGCTTGAAACCTGTCACCCGACTACCTGGTGTGTTCTTTAGCTAATGGTATTTCTTCCGAAGGAACTCGGCTTTCATCATGAGACGTCATAATTATTCCTTCTACTCCCAGGGCAGAGTTTGAAAGGTTTGAATGAATTTTTCTGGTTAGCGTTTTTTAGCGAGTTGATTTTCTACGGGATGGGGTCGCTAACCCCATGCCCAACCCTCCTCCTTTACCCGGGCTTGGGACCGGCAGTAACCCCTAGAGGAGCTACAGGCGGAGTTGTGAGACAAGTTACTTTTCTATATATACCACATGTAATTGTCAAGACAGCGTTTCAAGTTAATCACTACAGAAGAGTAATCATACTGTCTGTACAATAAATTCATTTAGTTTCATCTTATGTGCACTTACTCTAAAGTAGATAACACGGTGAATTTCTCTGTGTTTTGCTCGACAAATGTCAGATGCGTATCAGCAACGTAATACCGCTGTGACAAGATGCGCTACCTGCAGAATGTTCGTAGTTAAAATAACGGGAATGTTGTCGGCATTGTGCGTCGAAATTCCTGGTTTTCTTAACAATAATTTTAATTAATCAGTGTGGGTTGTAAAGAAAGTCTATCCTGTTGGAATGTAAACCATCAGCTATAAAACCATGAATACATCACACCACGACAGAACCTTGAGTCGCTCGTTGAAAGTGGTGACTTATTAATTGAAGTGCTTGACTTTCAGCAAGCAAATCTTAAGTCCCCATAGTTCAGTTTGGTCAGCGGGTTAGTTGGTCGTTACCGATGGGTTAGGAAAAATAAGACAATCCAATTAGATTGCACAGTAGTACCTTGCCAAGAATTTTAAACGCTTTCGGAAGATCTTAAGCTATATTGTGTAAATAGTGTCTCCCGAGCTAAGTGTAATTCCTTAAAATGGCAATTATTTCTGCGTGACTGCTGATTCCATCTTGGTTGCCTCCTGTTAACAGTTGCATCTATCGCTTTTTTTGTAGACACCACCGTATCAATCAACCTTATCTGACCAATACATCCTGATCATCTATGTAGATTAGGGTATAATCAATGTGCTTCTCAGCCGGCAGTTACCGATTTATTTGAGAGAAAAATATCGCAAGCCCAATAAGCAAGACGGAAATCTAGCTCAGACTAAATTTCTATTTGTTTGCAAGCTACTGTTTGCTAACCCCAACGTAACTTTCTTACAGTCCACTTTTGAGGGAATAGATGACACTTCAGTAGTTTGTCTCTGTTCATTGTATGTTCAGTGCTCAGGACATATTGTTTGCTAACTTAAGTTTTCCACTTAAAATGTCAAACAGCTAATTAAATTTAGAAACTATTCAAACGAATACATATATTCCCATAAAGTGAGACATTTTTTTTCTGACGTAATCTGTTATCTTTTCGAGAGAATTTCTCACTCTAAATAGACTAGCTAGTTTCCACTGCTAAGTTGTGTTAATATCAAGTGACTTTTGTGCAACTAAGATAGAATATAGTGAATTAATTATTACTTACCCCTGTTACCCCTCGTGGAGGAGCATAGGCCGCACACCGGCATTCTCCATCCAACCCTGTCCTGGGCAATCCTTTCCAGTTAACATTAATCCTTTTCATATCTGCTTCTATTTCCCAGCGTAATGTGTTCTTTGGCCTTTCTCTTTTCCACTTCCCTTCCGGATTCCAAGTCAGGGATTGCCTCGTGATGCAGTTTGGTGATTTCCTCAATCTGTGTCCGATCCACTTCCAATGTCTTTTCCTAATTTCCTCTTCAGATGGAAGCTGATTTGTCCTCTCCCATAAAACGCTGTTGCTGATAGTATCCGGCCAATGAATGTTGAGTATTTTGCGTAGACAACTGTTTATAGATACTTGTACCTTCTTGACGTTGCATGTAGTAGTTCTCCACGTTTCAGATCTATACAGTAGGACTGTCTTGACGTTCGTATTGAAGATTCTCACTTTGAAGTTAGTTGACAGGTGTTTTGAGTCCCATATGTTCTTCAATTGTAGAAATGCGGTCCTTGCTTTGCCAATCCTCGCCTTTACATCTGCATCAGATCCTCCTTGTTCATCGATGATGCTTCGCAGGTACGTGAATGTTTCTACATCTTCCAGAGTTTCGCCATCAAGTGTGACTGGCTTGGCGTTCTCCGTGTTGTATTTGAGAATCTTACTTTTTACTTTGTGTATGTTGAGGCCTATTGAGGCAGAGGCTGCTGTTACATTTGCTGTCTTCATCTGTATTTGTTCGTGTGTATGAGATAGGAGGGCTAGGTCATCTGCGAAGTCCAAATTGTCTAATTGGTTCTGAGATGTCCATTGTATTCCATGCTTCCCCTCAGATGTCGAAGTCTTTATAATCCAGTCAATCACCAGAAGAAAGAGGAAGGGGGAAAGTAGACAGCCTTGTCTGACTCCGATCCTCATTTGGAATGCATCTGTCAGCTGTCCTCCATGCACGACTGTGCACTGTAGTCCTTCGTATGAGTTCCGGATAATGTTGACAATCTTCTGAGGAACTCCATAGTGTCGAAAAAGTTTCCATAATGTTTTCCGGTTCACACTGCCAAACGCCTTCTCATAGTCAATGAAATTGATGTATAGTGACTAATTTCACTCAACTGAATGTTCAACGATGATCCGTGGTGTCGCAATTTGGTTTGTGCATGACCGATCCTTACGGAATCCAGCCTGTTGATCTCGAAGTTGGGCGTCTACTGCGTGAATTAATTATATCTTATGCATATTATTGCTCCTGCTCAATTTCCGTTTAAACAACGACTCATCTGTTATAGGCGATTGTCAGATTGTAAAAAGGTATCCACAATAAATGAGTGTCTAGGTGATCGACTTCCATCCTGCAAACATTAAGGATGTCACAGTATAGAACTGGTTCCCATTCTAATGAAATAGTATTTCTTGTTTTATTTCTGGAAAGATAGCTTCGGGTTAATGCTGTCATACTTTTCGTATGGATCGTTACAGCTACATATTTAGCATGGAAACGGATCGATAGCGTTATACAATTAAGTGAAAAAATCAGGTCACTTTTAGTCTGAAAACAAGTTGTTTTGTTTGTTAGTTTATAGGTCGCCATAATTGGTGCTTGCAGCTATTTTGAATGTGTCTAGAAAGAACTACGCACATTAGGACGTAACCATATGAAGTATTTACTCGTATGCGTACGTATGAGCGTAAATTAATAATGCATATGACCAAATCTGTTCAATTTAGTTAACGATAAATGGCGTGTCATTAAACTCCTAGATGCCTTGAAGTCTAAAATTAAACTTCTAAACATCAGGTTAATCGATTCCTGGACTATTCAAGGAAGTGGATTTATGTTTATCCGGTATCCGGATTTTCATTCTTACTCTCTGGGATATGACTGCATGTTTCTTTATCAAAGTAACGACTGGATTTGACTGCTAATTTGTTCAATTTTCACTTGGATCTCCGAGTCTTATGTATAATAGCCGTATAACCTAAAGGCTTGCTTCAAATGGCGATTTTATTACACTAACAGTATACAGTGTACACATTAACAGTTTGGTTTCACATCGCATACTGATAATCTGAAGATTAGTTACTTGCATTCACCAATGTGCGTGGCCTCAGTGTATTTTCAAAGGAAAAAAATGAACCAACTAGATTTAGAGGATTTCCATTCTGAATAGCATCCTAGCTTCAATCCTGAATGTCTCACTTAATAATGACAAGATTTCATTTCAACGCCCTCAATAGTCAAGTTGGATATTTCAATCTAGAAACTTTATACAGAACAATCAACCGCCACATTGAGTCAGTATTCGTTCTCCCTATAAATGTAAAAATTATAGAATAATGCTTCTGTTCAAAACCTAAAATTAATAGCTCACCTGACCTACTAGTATTTATTACTCATTGTTTGTGCGTAAATCAAAATATTTGCATGTTTCTTCCATCTCCAAAAATAAATTAACAACAAGTAAAGTAGAAACCATGTAGACCGCTGGTATATTTATTGTCTGATTTCTCTACATAATATCTTTGATCCCACCCTTTATTTTGATTATATTTACCGACTGATTGTCTTAAGATTTGTGTATATTATGAACGTGTGACTCTTCTTATACAGAGAAATGTTTCCCCACTTGACATAATATAAAAACTGTCTTGTAGATTGAGTCAAAAGACTGGTCTTTGCTATCTAACCAGATTCGTGTCTATTTAGATAAGGTATGTAGTGTTAAAGGCTTTTCATATGATCACAATTCGAAGTTAGATGGGAAATGAGTATAAGTCAGGCTAATTTCAGTAATATAACAGATCAGAAAAGCCTTCAGCAGTATCAGTCTCTCAGAAATATGGTTGTATCTAAGACTAATGGTAGTGAGAGATAGGACTAAAGGAATTGCAATTCATAGTAGTATAATCCTCTAGATGCACAACAGTGTGTTGATATGACTTCAAGTGAAGATGTTACTTGGCAACGGGGCATATGAACTCCTGACCTACCAGGCGGAATGTAAAGAACAAAGCGTTATACTAGTTTGAATTTGGTGTGGCTTTGGTCACAAGGGTTGTAAGTTCCTTTTAAGGTAAGTAGAATGTTGGATCAAGAAAGGTAGGCGCTTGACGGTAAGTTATTTTAGTACAGGATGTAGTAGCTTCAAAAACCTGTGAACGAAAGTGCTAATCAATCCAGTTCTCATTCATTGTTAAGATCTGCCACCATTTTAGTCGTTCTTTAGTGCGCCAGTGAATTTACCTGATATTTCACAGTTCATCTCATCTGTTGATTTGACTTTTTCTGAAGAACATTACCTAAGTTGCGTTTAGTAGTTTCAACTCCTTAGTAAGAATGACAGTACAGTTGTCACTTACAAGTTCCTTACTAACAGATTGGTGTTAAGCCTTTTGCATGAAAGTTAATTTGATAGCAGCCAGTTCTTCAACTTCCTTAGAAGACTTAATATTCAAATATAGAGTTGTACGTCTAGACTACCGACTTGTATCATGCTAGGTCGTTAAAAAGCACGAGCATTTCCGTTTTTGAGAAATGGGTAATTGGTCTCTCATTGAGTTAGACGGAA